ATGTCCTCCGCAGCCAGCAGAGTTCCGAGAAATCCAGAGCAGCGCCCGGCGAGGCCTTGCGAGGGAGCTGGGCAACCTCATACGGCGACGCCTCCACCCTCGTCCATCACGATGTCCAAAACGCCACCTCGCCTCGATAGATCACCAGCGGTAACCTTCGTAAAATTCATCTCAGGAGGAGGGGTTTGCGCGGGAGGGGAGAGAAGTACATGGTGTTTGAGAGGGGAAAGGAAAGACGGGGGACTTGGATTGGGTTGTGAGGAGAGGAGAGAGGGGACGGAGAGAGAGAGAGCGCTGCACGATGTGGGTGTGATTCGCTGTGATGTAATAATGGAAGATACGTTGAGGAACTAACTCCCAATATTACGGTGGAACTACGCGAGATAAAGTACACAAAGTACTATGCAAATGAGGTTAATTTTCACCTCCAAGACTTCAGACAGAAAGAGGATGAGAACACACGATCTGGAATGTCTTCAGAATTCCCCGAACTATCCTGACTTAAGCACAGTATTTTAACAGGTCTCTAAGACACGCAAAAACAACCACCACCCATTTCAAAACAGTATTTTTATCAGGGCTTTAAGACACGAAAAACAACCACACCCATTTCAAACCCCACCAGACTTTCCCCAACCACGAGGAGCCCAACCCTTTCCTTCCTTTGCAATGAGCGGGGCAATCCTCGGAGGACAAAGGGAACGGTGATCTTACGAGGACAAGTGGAAAGAGATAATGACGACGCCGCGGTGGAGGTGGAATCACGCTCTCGCCTCCAACTTTGCTACAGCTAACCAGGCCGCCTTGGGCTGTTCCGTCCTCCGTCATTACAAGTCCCTCCCTTCGCACCCGTTCCCTCTCCCTAGCCCCTCCTTCGCCTATACCCTTCTCTTACACATAATGTGTGTGTGTGTAGGTGTGTGTGTGTGTGTGTGTGTGTGTGTGTGTGTGTGTGTGTGTGTGTGTGTGTGTGTGTGTGTGTGTTGTGTGTGTGTGTGGTGTGTGTGTGTGTGTGTGTGTGTGTGTGTGTGTGTGTGTGGTGTGTGGTGTGTGTGGTGTGTGTGTGTGTGTGTGTGTTGTGTGTGTGTGTGTGTGTGTGTGTGCTGTGTGTGTGTGTGTGTGGTGTGTGTGTGTGTGTGTGTAGGTGTGTGTGTTATTACTATTGTCCTTAGAATGATCATCATTATCATTATTATTAATATTGCTATAATTACTATTAGTATTATTATTATTACTATTATTATTATTATTATTATTATTATTATTATTATTATTATTATTATTATTATTATTATATTATTATTATTATTATTATTATTATTTATAATTATTATTATTTATTATTATTATTATTATTATTATTATTATTACCATTATTATTATTATTACCATTATTATTATTATTACCATTATTATTATTATTACCATTATTATTATTACCATTATTATTATTATTACCATTATTATTACCATTATCATTATCATTATCATTATCATTATCATTATCATTATTATTATTATTATTATTATTATTATTATTTATTATTATCATTATTATTATTATTATTATTACCATTCTTATTACATTATGATTATTATTATCATTATTATTATTAATATTGTTATTGTTGATTAGTATCATTTTTATGATTATTATTGCTACAATAATAATAATTATTATTATCACTATTACTATTACTATTATTATTATCACTATTACTATTACTATTATCATTACTATTATTATTATCACTATTACTATTACTATTATTATTATTATTATCATTGTTATATTTTTGTAGTTGTTAGTATTGTTATTGTTATTATAGGTATTATTATTATCTTGTCTTTTTTATCTATTACTAGTTTCACCTTCACCTTTATCGTTATCGTTACTGTTATCATTATCATTAAAATCATAACAATATCAACAACGGCAAGAGCGACGACGCAGACGACGACGACGACGATCACAACGGCGACAGCAACTACGATGACGACGACGATAACGATCACAGCGACGGCGACGACGGCGACGATGACGGAAGTAATAACGAGGACGACGACGGCAACGATGAGGCGACAGATAACGAGGACGACGACGACGGCAGCAAATACGATGACGACCACGACAATAAAGACGACGACCACAACGACGACGACGGCAACAACGACGATGATGGCAACGATGATGCGACAGATAACGAGGACGACGACGAGGCAACAACGACGACGACGGCAACAACGATGACGACGGCAACAACGACGATGACGGCAACGATGAGGCGACAGATAACGAGGACGACGACGACGGCAGCAAATACGATGACGACGACGACAATAAAGACGACGACGGCAACAACGACGATGATGGCAACGATGAGGCGACAGATAACGAGGACGACGACGACGACAATGAAGACGACGACCACAACGATGACGACGGTGGCAACAAATACGATGACGCCGACAATAAAGACGACGACGACGGCCACAACGACGACGACGACGGCCATAACGACGACGACGACAGCGGCAACTACTATGACGACGGAAATATGGCTTACACTCTGACGCAAAACTGTCTTGTTAGCCGCCTGCCTTCACAGACTCTTCATTTGAAATATTTTCTGCAATTATTTTCATCGTTTTTTGTAAGTACGTGACAAGACATGTAAAGAAAAAAAAAAACGGGCGCCCCCGTTTTCATTTACATGTTTGTCGTGTTTTATACAGTGCATATACACTTATGCCGTACATACATACACATGTTTGAGCGTGTGCGTGTGCATTTGTGTGTGTATATAGACGCAAGTGTGTATGTAGTGAGATACTTTGAGAAGAGATAATTCATGTAGCTACTTCAAGTGTAATGGTGACAGACCGCGACATGATGCTACTCTTTAGGTTCACATGAACTGATATGATAGTGAAGATGCTATTTGAGATGGTTGCCGGTTCATACCTTCAGTATCCTTTTGTGTCAACCATTATATTGAGGCATATCTCGATGTTATTTTTTCCTTACACTTGAGAAAGATTAACAAATTACAATTCGTCTTGCCTCCAGTAATAAAAAATGACAAGTAGTGGTTCCAGTTCAATCTTAGCTTCTTTTCTAGAGAGAGAGCGCCCAACAGTGCCTAGGGCAAATGGCACAGAAAAAAAAATTGGTCTCATTTCGTGTTTCAGGCAATTTCTTAATTCTTTACATGTCCATTTAATTGCTTTTCTTTTCTTTAATTATTCAAATAATTATTGCCCAAAGCTTCTTTATGATTAAGCATCATTTTTGAGTGGCTAGAAACCAACTCAAATTATTAAATTATAGCGAGTGTCAATCAAAATTATTATTATTCCAAATAGAATAACCATATGGTTATCTATAACATAAAATTTTACAAAAGGTTACTGCAACAAATAAAGGTAAATGAAAACAATTTTCTACACTTAGACCTAATATTCTTATTACAACACTGACATAGAAATCTTTTCAGAATGTATGAATAATGACAATAACTAAATCAGTAACTGAATAACAGAAATAACTAGCATATTCCAAAGTCACAAACGTAGAATAACAATTACATAAAGAGTTCAAAAAACATTTCTTCTTAGATAAATTTGCCATACAAAAAATAAGCAAGTTAAAACGGGAATGTACAACTAGCTAAATTCACCAGGATTTGGACAAAGTTTGTACTATATATAAAGATCTAGAAGTTAAACCAATACCTATTTACATTTCTTTGGAACCAAGGAAAGTAAAATACAAGCAAACAAGATCAAATACCAAATTGCAATTCATACCTTGACTTGTTAATAAGCTAATACCATAAATCTTTACACATAATAAAAAAAAATACTCTAAATATACAATTATCTCCCTAATTTATATTATTAATCCTCTTAAATACTTTGATGAACCCAAAAAATAATTCTTATAACCAGGAATCCATTCTTTAATAAAAATCTTCAATATTACTGTTCCAGAATCCTTCTTGTTCTTGATCTGGTCTTGGCTATTGTACAAGTCTGCAATCTGAAAATAGAAATAGATTAAATATAAGTATATATACAAGTATAAATGAAGCCATGGTAACGGTCAAGATGAGGAGGAAATAAATGAGGAAGAGGAAGAATAGGAGGATGAGGGGGGGAGGAGGGGGAGGAGGAGGAGGAGGGAGGAGGAAGAGGAAGAGGAAGAGGAAGAGGAAGAGGAAGGGAGGAGGAGGAGGAGGAGGGAGGAGAGGAGGAAGAGGAGGATTTAGGAGAGAATGAGGAAAAGGAGCAGGAAGTAGAGGAAGGGGAAGGGGGGGGAGTAGGGTAGAAGAGAGGTAGAGAAGAAAGGGGGGCGGAGGAGGAGGAGGAGGAGGAGGAGGAGGAGGAGGAGGAGAGAGGAGGAGGAGGAGGAGCAGATGTAGGTGGAGGAGGGGGAAGAGGAGGGGAAGGAGGAAGAGGAAGAGGAGAAGGAAGAGGAAAGCGGGGGAGGAGGGGGAGAAGGTAGGATATGATATGGAGGTTGTTAAGGAGGCAGCAAGAGAAGTAAAGAGGAGGGGAATATGATAGGAGGAAGAGGAAGTATAGTAATAGGAAGAAGAGGAAATAGAGAACGAAGAGGTAGAAGAGGGAAAGGAAGAGGTGAAGAAGGTAGGAGGAGGTGGTGGCATGAAGCAAGCAGAGGGTGTGGCAGATAAAGCAAAGGAAGAAAAGTTGCAGGAGAAGGAGGAGAAGATGGAGGAAGAGAAGGAAGGAGGAAGAGTAGGAGGAGGAAGAGGAGGAGGAGGAGAGAAGGAGGAAGGAGGAAGAGAAGGAGGAAGAGAAGGAGGAAAGAGAGGAAGAAGGAAGAGAGAAGAGAAAGGGGAGGAAGAGAGGAGAAAGGAGGAGGGGAGGGGGAAGAAGGAAGCAAAAGATGAGGTGGTAGAGGAGGAGGTGAAGGAGGTGGAGGTAAAGGAGGAAGAGGTGGAGGTAAAGGAGGAGGTAAAGGAGGTAAAGGAGGA